CTCTGCATCAGCAGTGCTGCGTCTGACTCCCTGCCAGCTCCCAGATCAGCTTCTCTCATTGGTTGATGAGGCGCATCCAGCAGATAAAGTTACATTTTTCCAACTGCAGCAGCTGCTGCTTTCGCAGCGCGTCACGCACCTCAGATGCTCAGAAGCTCGTGATGCGATGCTCCCGCTGCTCTAGACGCTGCAGGACCTTTTGCTGCTCCTTGATGAGCGTCAACCATTGACTTTGCATGTAAACCTGCAAAGCCTCTGAGCTGAGGAGATGTTGCAGGTCCAGCTTCCCTCTCAGAAGCTGCTTGAACTGCAGCATCTTCAGGAAAGATTTCCGCTTTAAAAAAGTTTAGTTTCATTTAGCTGACCGTTTTAGGATGCTGTGCATGCCTATATTTTAAAACACTTGTTGATTTAAATAAGACAAAGATCCCAAATAATTTAACCAAAGATCAATTTAATCTGAGATTAAAAAGCTTTAACAACTGGATTACATTATTTATGTATCCTAAATTCTTAATCATTCTGTTAAAAAGAATAAAATGAATTTCTGAATTTCAGAACTAGTTGATTGAAAATCTGAGCTGTTACCTGCAGAGCTACAACAGGTAGATCTGCAGAACCAATCAGCAAGCAGCTGGTTTTCTTAGATTAAAAACTTTAATCCGATCAGAGAATCTGGTTGAATTGTTTCTGTAAAGTGACCTGAGATGACATGATGTGAATCCATAGAAATAAACTGAATAGAATAGACAAATAGTGTTCTGCTAAGCTTAGAGATGAGATGCTGGATTTTATTTAATGTAATAAAAGAGACGCACACCAGCTTTTATCAGCCTTTATCTTCCTGCTGTATTCTAACGTAATCGTTGTTGTTTCAGTTCGATTGTACCAGAGATTAAATGTTAAAAAGTTTTAAATATTTCATCGTCTGTAGATTTTTCTACATTCAGTTTTCATAAAATATGATAAATAATTTGTTTCTTTTAGAAAAAAGAAACTATGTCCAATATCTCGCTCAGCTCCCATATTTATTTCTAATAGTTAATCATCATCAGTAGATGAATAAAATCAGAAATGAATCTTTTCTCGCCGTTCCACCTCCGCAGCAAAGAAGCATTCACTTTATTTTGCTTCTGGCTTTTATTTTGAAACTGAACTGGCCATCGAAGCTGAAGCCTGATCTATCTGGGGGGGGGGGTTCTTTGTTTGTGTGATTGCAGAACGACTACATGGCTTCACCAACAGGATCGCTGAACCACAGCTTCAACAAGGGAATACAGAAAGACAGAAGTGAGTCAGCAGGCCGAGCTAAAACACATCAATGTTCAAACCAAAGTTTTCCTCCATCTTTTTCACCGCATGGTTTTCTCTGCAGAGATGGACGAGGTGAACAGCGAGCTGTTGATGAAGATCACTGCTAACAAAAAGCAGGAGCCCAGAAAGGTGCAGATAAAGCGCTCCACCGTCCCCCAGGTGCCATTAAACTCTCACTCAGACGCAGAGCAGGTGACGGCGTGGCTCACCGCTAAAGAATTCTCTAAACCGTAAGTTTGAGGACGACAAACGACAAATAAATAACTTATGAAATAATTATTTCAACGTGCCATGAAGGTATTACAGCTGGAAATAAGAACAGAATGAGTTTAATTAGTGGATAAATTAATAAATATAGACCTAAATGTAATATTTTGATCAGATTTCATGTTCCTTTGCTAAAGATTTAGATTTATTTATTTAAAGGGACAGTGTTCATTAATAAGCAGATGCTGATGAAGGTTCTCAGTCATCCAGGTCATAGTCATTCCGTAAAAATTCAAATTTTGAATTGAGAAAGCTTCCTGGAAAGGTGGCGAAACGGCTTCAAAACTTGGAAACCAAGTCCAGTGGATATTTTTTTAATTTTTACGGAATTAATAAGCAGAATTCGCCCAAAATGCTATTTTTTCATCTGTTGTCCCTGAAAGATCTTTCTGATGACGAGTCGGTCTCACTTTATAATTTAAGGGTCCTTTTGGACCCGGCCGGGTTTTAAAGGAAGATAGTTGCAGGTCTCAGTTCTGAACACTGCAGACGGATAGAGTTTAGAAAAATCCGACCCTCTTAGGACTCTGATATATCTGTAGTTACGATCCAATAAACGCATGTCTTCATGTTTCTGAACTCGGCAGGAAGATTAAAACAGCTGCTTGTTCCTTGAATCTAGTTGCATAAGGTGATAGGCATGTAGGCAGTTTTTACTGCTGTGCTAAAATGAAAGAATCATTTAACTGATGCAGCCTGGTTGAAGGAGAGGAATACGCTGGAGAAGATTCTCAGTCATTCAGGTCATAATCATTTCAAAAAAGAAAATTACAAACAATCCACAGTCCAGTGGATTGTTTGTAATTTTCTTTTCTTTTGAACCTGGTTAAAGGTGGAAATAAAGGATCTTCAGGGAAAGGAGGGAAGCAGTTAATGAAGTAGCTTTGATTTGGCTGCTTTAACTTACTAATAATTAGTCATATATTGGTTTAACTGAAGGAAAATTTCTTTTTTAATCTGAATCTACTGGAGAGGCGTCTCTCAGAGGAATCCACTTATTGCTTTGCCACTTTTTCCTGCAGCAACATGCCTAGAAGCCTTAAAACGATGTTTCTGTTCCTTTGTGGTTCAACAACATTTTGCTCTCTGCTGGAATCCGTGTTGCACTGAGAACAAACATGATGCCGTTATTATAATCTGTCCCACTGTCCGTTCTGCAGGACCGTAGATTGCTTGGGAATCCTGACCGGAGCTCAGCTGTTCTCCCTGAACAAAGAGGAGCTGAAGGCCGTCTGTGGGGAAGAAGGGGGTCGTGTCTTCAATCAGGTGTCTTTACAGAAAGGACTAGTAGAGGTTGGTAACATCTGCATGCATCCTGCTGAGGAAACTGCTGTTCTTTTTATGGATGCAACCTCAATAACAGGCTGGAACAAGTTGAGGCAATGCGTGAATTCGGGATCTAGGAGTTGTTGACAGCTTTAAGGTTCCAGGGAATGAATACAGGTTTAGTGGGAGAAATGGCTGAGTGGTGATGAAATCAAGTATTAGACTGGGCTGGGTTACGCAGCAGCTTTGAACAGTAAGAGCGACACTTAGGCTGAAAAACATTTAATACTATTAGATTCACACTTGGAAACAAAATAACAGTTTCTATCTTATTTTTTCCCACATTGCTTTATCAAAAAAAAACAAAAACAATCTAAACATTAAAAATAATGTTAGAAATGTTCATTATTAATTGCATCCTTTAGGCAAAGTTCCTTTAGAAGGAGAAATTGAGGAAAATCAGAGTCTAAATTTAAGCCAAAGATGAAGAAACCTCAGACTGAAGCAAATTATTCTTTTCTCTTGATTTTTGTTTTTTACAGGACAGTTTTTATGTGTTCTTTGTTTTCTATTCAGTTTATTTCTATAGCTCTAATTCACATCATGTCATCTCAGGTCACTTTCCAGTTCACCAGATCATCCAGTCAGATTGATCCAAAGTTTTCTATCTAAGGAAAACCAGCTGATTGCATCGACTCATTGACTCTTCA